GGGGGGGGGGGAGAAAGAATGGGCCTGGCCCTGGCCCCAAAGTGGTGGAGGCAAAGGTGGGGAGAGCAGGCCCTTTTGCCACCATCCTAGATTGGATGAGAAGTAGGGGTGGGGCCAGATGCAGGACTCCATCCCCATGCACCATGACTGCGGGGAGTGTACCACTGCTGCCCTGCCAGTGTTGGGCCCTGACAAAAGCCTGTAGGGAGAGGGAAGGAGGGAGGGAAGGGGGCAAGAGTGGGGAGGGGGGCATGGTGACAGCACCCTGCTGCTGCTGCCGGGCCCTGCTAACAGCTGGGAGGGAGGGGAGTGGGGAAGGGAGGCAGGTGGATGCGGGCCAGGTGGACCCAGAGCATGGGGAGGGGGGGGGGGGGGGCGGGAAAGGAGAGGAGGGAGAAGGGCCAAACCTGAAGCACACAGGCGAGGGCAGACATGAGCCTCTGTTCATATGCCCACCCCCTGGGTCTTTCTTGATGGGCAATTGGCTAGTATATCTTTATAATGAACAGAACCCAAGGTTGCCTTTTTCCTAACCACCCATCTACCTTAAAGCACAAACAAATGTCTAGATAGAGCCGGCTAGAACATTTTTTACTACGAGCTCTCACTGAAGCTGGAATATTCACAAAGGTTCTGGTAGACTTCAAGGGCTCTGCCATTTCTAGAAGACCCACATCAGGTCTTTGTTATGGCAGATTCAGAGACGAGTTTAGCAACATAGTAGTCCGAATCAGGCGGAGCAAACACTTGAATCTGATTTCCCACACAATCTCCTTCCTTCTCTCTGCCATTTCCTAAATTGTAAGGCATTAGGTTTAGTATTTTCCCCAAATAATCCACACCTTTTTCCCCCCAAAACCACTTGGGGAAATTTGGACTATGCATTATATGCAAAGAACAGGCTTTCCCATAGGTCCAGAAGGTGGGAGGGGAAGGGGGCAGAGCAGTGGTATCATCAATTGCCATGGCTCATGGAGCCACAGCAATTAAAATTGCCACTGCTCCCCACCCCAGACCTCTATTGCCAAATTTCTGGACCTCAGAAAGGCCCCCTCCCCACCTGCATGCCAGATAGGACAGGGATTGTTCCATAGTCAGGCCCACTTTATGGCCCCTAGCCCCCAAATACCCAGCCCTTATGTGCAGCCTCCCAGTCCCCCAAGACACCAGACCTCAGATACTTACCTGTGTTCTAAAGTAAAATATTTTTCTTTTTTGAGGCCTTTTCAAAATGGTGTGTGCATAATATTTGGGATGTGTTATATGAGAAAAAATAAGGTAATAGGAAAACTGACCACCACACACTTGAAAGTTCCCTTTCATTCCAAAGCAGAATGAAAATGAGTTTTAAAACCTTGCAAGTTGCCATCAAACTGCTTTATCATCTCCCATACAGTTCTAGTCACAGGTTTGTGAAATTTTACTCACTCGTTCTCAAATAGAAGGATCTGTCACTACTTTTTAGTTTAGTCACCCAGGCCCATTACAGAGCTAGAAAGGACATTTCCTTTAAGTGAGCAGAAGCTAAATGCAATTCAAACAAAATAAAATTACCTGGATCTGGTAAACAGGAAGCTTTTTGGCTTCTAGTGAAAAGAAGAAAAGCATTGGTCATTTTACCTCTTTTGACAAGCCACGTGGCAAACAATATATCTAGGATTTAAAAATTGTTTTCTATGTGTGTGACATGAATCTAGGTTTGGATAAGAATTTTAGGATTTATAAAGGCAACACATTTATGCTTTTCCTAAAGTAAAGGATTTGGGGGAGAGAGGGAATGGATGGAAGAGTATAACTGTCTAAGCAGTTCAATAATGTCTTGCAAAAATGCAATAAAAGGCTAGAAGTCAACTGAACAACTCATGGAAGTAAAGCTAAGCAGGTGAAGGGCTACCACGACTGGGGCTCAAACGTCTCAACATTAAATTTTGTTTCACGGCTGCTTTTACATAAACTTAGTTTTTCCAAACACCCCCCCCCACTCTTTTAGTACTGTCTGTAGATAAACCTACTTGTAAATTGATCATATTTCCTTAATCTGATGATTTGCAATTCAGCAGTTTTAATTCAGAACTAAGACTCATTGGTTGTCTATACACATGCTGGTTTGCATTCTCATTATAATGCTCCAGTGTGGCCTCCCTGTCATGTGTATAAGCCCCTGCACATTTAAAAATGGCCACTGGGGCACTTTATCTGAACCTTGTTTGATGAGGTTCAGATAAACTGTCCCACAGCCATTTTTAACTGTGCAGGGGCTTAATACATGCGACAGTAAGGTGTTTTTATTACAGCAGCTCCTGGGAACTGCTCTTATTAAAACACCCAACCCCCCCCCCACAACCTCAAGCATGTATATAGGAAGCCATTAAGATTTAAAAAAAAAAAAAAAAATGGTTTCACATGTGAAAGTGTTTGCTTCTTGTATTCTCTAATGTACCACAATCCAAATTTCCTCCCCACCATACCCCACCTGCACCTGATTTCCTTTAATCCTTACCTGAACCAGAAGTCAATCAACAACCTTTATCATCTGGCACCCGTTGACTTGTTTTCCTCCACACATGCATGAACCTCTGGTTAGGTATATTACCTCGCAAAGAAACTAGAGTTTTGCTAGAGGGTTGCAAGCATCAGCCTATCTTTGACAGATGTTCAGACCATTTTTTCTGGCACCTCCTTCAAAGGATTAACAAACCCCCCACACCACACTCTCATATACACTGAAGACTTATTTGTTATGCAGCCAGATTTAGAACGTATCAGAATTTCCATGTATAATCAGAATAGCAAAGCTGGGATTCTCAAAGGCAGCTAAGGGAATTACATATCCATCTCCCATGGAACGCACGGACCCAATTCCTGTTCTCCTCTTTTGAAATCTTCATCTAAGCCTCCAGAGCATTTACATTTCAAACATACAGCAGAATCTCTCATCCATGAAGGGTTCAGTCAATACGCATCTTATTTACTCAAAAGAGAAGACAACCCTGATTATATGACAACCCCCCAATAATTAGATTCTATTATTGGAAAATTTTTAAGTTGGCTATAATTTTCCAGGTATAGAATCCAATTATTGGAGGTTTGCCTTGAATGTGTTTTCCTCTCACTGCTGTAGTACGGAAAATAAATCTTGGGGTTCAGGGAGCCCCTTTGCCCTCTGCTTCCTATCCCCCCCCCCCCCCCCCACACCCACACACACACACACATCTTCCCCCAGCAGCCCCTTCCCTCTCTCCTTACTGTCAAGACCCTTCTCTCCCTGAGCAAATGGAAGTCAGGAGTAAAGTTAAAAAAAAATTAACCTTAAAATTAAACATGGCTGCAGCAATTTGCATATAGTACCCATAGACTTAGCTCATCTAGAATTGATGCATGCTATGTTTTTTGGAAACTGCTGCAAGTTTTAGCACAGTTGCTTCATAAGGAAGGATCCATGTGCTAATTAGCTCCCACTCATGACTGGAACTGGGTGTTCTTGTCACAAGTCCTGGGATGCTCCAAAATATTTTGTACAGATGAAGCAAAGGGCAACCTGGCCTGGCTTCACCTCATAAAGGGCAGAGAGACAGTAATCATATGGGACAGGCTGAGAGAGGGGGCAACAAAGGGATTCTGGATGAACTGGTTGGGGCCCTGTTTGGTGATGTTTGCCAGGCATTGAAGGCTGGTGAAGAAACACAAATCATTGGAAATGGGAAAGAAAGCAAGCCACAGCTCAGCTGTAGGAGTGAAGAAGTTGTCAAAATGTTTGCAGTGTAGTGACTCACCATGACTTTAAAAAGCCAGTGGTGAGGGAGACTGCGCTTAGTGCGCACTGCCATATGTCTTTTTCAGATGGCCTACACAAACCGAACCTTGTAGTTGGTTCCCATCAGCATTTTGCCCATTGTGAACCAAATGTTTTATAGTTATGCTCAGGGTTACTTGCATTTAATCAATCAATCTCACAGTTGGGTTCCATTGCTGAGCACATGCCACTTTTGGCAGCAGTGTAATGATAGACAAAGTATTTAATGAGGTTTACTTGTACGTGATGAGGCACTTTTCCCCTTCATGCCAATTGGGGTAGGAAGGTAGGAAAATTCATCTTGTATTTGAGTAATATGGCATTTCCAAAGCATTAAATAAGAGTTAAACATGAAATCTTGGAAGGTTTATCTGTTATTTTGGGTTAGAGTAGACTTACCTTGTCATTTTCTTTGGCTTCTGTTGTAGGTGCTAGAATAAAGAATTGTTAACAATTATTGCTTTTGACACATTCAGAACATATCTCTGTCTTAAAGGCCTTGAACTAAAGGCTGCAAAACCAGCTGTGACTAAATGTAACGGGTCTATTTAATTTAGGACCTAGGCTACCTAGGGACAGACTCTTCAAAAGGCCAGTTGCTCCTCTTAGGCTTACAATATCAACACCTACCACCCCGAGCGCTCTCAGGCCTTAAGCTGTCCCACTCACAGCCCTGAGAAAGTAGGTAGTATTATGTTCAGGTACAATGGGGAAGAATTAGCTGGAAGTGAATGGGGCAGGGGGGTGAAGATGCACATAAGAGAAAGCTTGCTGAATAGGAACCAAAACTGAAAGAGTGGTCAAAGAGGAATGGTGGCTGGCTACTGTGCCGATACAAGGCACAGGGGAAAGATGCATGTATGGGAAAGGAAACACCACAGAAGAGGTTGAGGACCACGTTAACTTCACCTCTTTTCACCTGGGCATTACCACAGGGTAGGATTAATGCAAGCTTTTCCCAATGCACTTCACCCCACCATAATCCTCCAACTCCATTGCTTTCAGATTTGCCCTCCAGCCTGCATTTTGCTTGTCGTGGCAAAGCAGCTGGGCAGCAACGCGGGAATATTCATCTTTGGTCACGAATATGGCGAGCAGGTGACAAAGAGCAGTTCCAACATGAAACTAAGCCTCTAACAGTTAAGTAACTGTTCCGTTTTAAAAAGTGAATCCCATATACTATGCATATATTACTTGGCTTAAGAGACTCCCAATTAGCAATACCTTGAGTGGTACATGAGCTCATTTCAGTTCCACACGGCTTCAGGTAGGATATGGTGTCTTCGTAATCATGCGATTCCTCAACGGCAGTGCTAAGGAAATGATCGGGGGTAGGAAAAGGATAGGTTTTGAAAAATCTCGCAAAATATTTAATCTTGAAATAGATGACCCTGAAGCAGCCACTGATAGCCTGCTTGAAGTGAACTGTAACTGAGAACTTTTACTGTCATCAAGAGGTCTCAGCATTTGTCCTAAACCCACATTAACCCCCCGAGCCAGAGCCCTGCACAATCTTACTACAGAGCATTAGTCTTTAAGGAAGTAGCTATCCACCTACCCCACATCTCCTCTTCCTGCTTCTGGGGTCAGTTTGAACTTAAGCACAGTGGGAGCCCAAATGCCAAGCTTGGCGAAATACAGTTTTTATTCAATGGTAGGATCTGGATTTATGTTTATTTATTTATGTTTTTATTCAAACACCAAAAAAACCTTGGACAAAACCAGAAAGGCTTTAATTTGGAAATGCTGCTATCTTGCCTCATGGAATTTGTAGCTCACATACTTTGAGTTCGCCTCTGTGTCTATGAGGCTGGGCTCACTGATTTGTAAAGTTTTCCTACGATTCACTATGGTCTCTCCTTTCAGGAAGAGAAAGCCATGCATAGTGGGATTGCCTCGCTCTGGTGCATTATAGAAGGGGTAGCTTCACTCTCTTGTGTCCACTGTTGCTCTGGGAGTTCACTGGCTGGGTTACAACTTCCATAAATCACTATAGGAGCAAGTCAAAATATTTGTAATCCCTTCCCCAGTGTGGAGAAAAAGAAATCACTGAAAATTTGCAGAGATTTTTGGAGAGGAAAAAAACAAAACTCCAAGCAACATATTTTCTTTCAAAAATAGTTTTGAGAAAATTTCTAACCGGTACCAACTAGATGGCAGAAGCCATTAGAGCAGTGTTTCTCAACCAGGATGTAGTGGTCCCTCAGGGTGCCACAAGATCCTTTTAAAGGTGCTGAGCTACTGGCACTGTTACATGTGCAAACATCTTGGCAAGAGAAACCCAGAGGTTTCAAAGAGGAATGCACAGGGTCACAAACACTTTGGCCTGTCATGGTCTTTCTCAGTTCTTGGTAACAGAAGTGTTTCTCTATTATGTTTCCACGCACACAAAATGAACGAAAGCCAAGAGCTGGCATTTTCTAAGAGGTGTCTCAAGTCTAGCGAGGTTGAGAACCACTACACTAGAGGGACATTCAGCCTTACACCTGGCACACAGTAACCACATCTCCTTTCCTGACCACAAGTCACAGAAGCAAATGAATCATTGACACTTCATACCACTTGTCCATTGTCAAGGCACACTAGGCCTTTCTGCGAGTTCAGGGAAATCCCTTGTGCATTGATGGGAAGAGTCTTTAGCACAGATCTCTCTGTTTTCACTTGCACACGTCCTTAAAGCATGAGTAATTTGTTTGGGTTGCTACAAACTGAAAGGTTCAAGGGTGTGGCACAGCCGTTGTTGGAGGTTTCAGCAACTCACCTGAACTTGACTGTAAGCACCGAACAATAGATATTTAGTGTTTGATAAACACAAAATATGTTGAAGTGAGATTCCAGCTAGTCTCAACTGATTCACACTGCATGGGGCGATTTGAAAAATTGCACTTGGGAGCATATGAAATTATCTAGCAAGGTTTTGCATTTGGTACCTTTGAAGTACACGGTGCAGATGGTTGGGTACATTTCCCTATTGAGGTGGCCCAGTGCAGCTTGCGTTTAATGCTCACTGGATCACATGGATAAGCAATACTGGGAAAGTTTCTGCATCAGTGGGATCAGGGGCCCAGTGGGGTCAGGGGTCTCAGAGCCTTGTTCCTTCCAAGAGATCCACACATCATCTGGCTTTTTTTCTTCTGTATCTCCTCTCTTGGCTGCCCATTGGGCCAGCTTCAAGAGGATGGAGTAATGCTTCAATTGTTGCCTAATAGTTAGAGGCACGCAATCCTTCTTCCTCTGGCCAGTTTCCCATACAGGGCATAGCTCTACTAAGCATGCTCCACGGGCTAGTCTGGACAATGCCAAATTGCAAACTATGCACAAGTGCTCAGAACTGCAGTTATGTCGCTGCACTTAGGTGCAAAAAGCATAAGTGAGATATGGCCCCAAGAATGACCATATAGTGCAAGTCTGCCCCCAAAGAATTGAATGACAAGAAACTCAATACCTAAGGGACACATTAAGAGAGGGTTTAGATGGCTTGCAACTAATGACATCCTTCACCTCTAAGTTATCATGATCAGGAGTGCAGATAGATTTCAGAGGCAGGGGAAAAATCTGCCACCCTATTGTACGAGGTCTCTAGAGATCATGATATTGACCCTTCCATAGTCCCTTATCCCTCGATAGATAGTTTCATAGTTGGTAGGGTCGGAAGGGACCCGAGCAGATCTAGTCCGACCCCCTGCCCTGGGCAGGAAAGGAGGCTGGGGTCAAATGACCCCAGCTAGGTGGCTGTCTAGCCTTCTTTGGAAGATCCCCAGAGTAGAAGCAAGCACCACTTCCCTTGGAAGTTGGTTCCAGCTCCTAGCTGCCCTCCTGATGTCTAGCCTGAATCTACTCTCTGTCAACTTATGGCCGTTGTTCCTTGTTACCCCCGGTAGTGCTCAGGGGAACAGGGACTCTCCCATTGCCTGCTGGTCCCCTTGGCAAGTTTTTAGGCGGCCACCAGATCCCTTCTCAGCCTTCTCTTGTGGAGGCTGAACAGGTTCAGGTCCCGTAGCCTCCTCTCATAGGGCCTGCCCTGCTGCCCCCTGATCATGCAGGTGGCCCTCCTCTGGACCCTCTCCATGCTGTCCACATCCCTCCTGAAGCGCGGCGCCCAGAACTGGACACAGTACTGCAACTGCGACCTGACCAATGTTGCATAGAGGGGGAGGATCACCTCCTGGGACCTGCTCGTGATGCATCTGTGGATGCATGACAAGGTGTGGTTGGCCTTCCTGCCCACATCCCCACACTGTCGGCCCATGTTCATTTTGGCATCAATAATGACTCCAAGATCCTTTTCTGCCTCTGCACTGATGAGAAGGGAGTTCCCCCGCCTGTAGGTATGCTGCTGGTTCTTCCTCCCCAGGTGCAGCACCTTGCATTTGTCCATATTGAAACCCATCCTATTCTCATCTGCCCACCCCTGTAACCTGTCGAGATTTAGTTGTAGCCTGTCCTTCTCTTCTAGCGTACTCACTTCTCCTAACATCTTAGTATGCTCTGAACTGTGGTGAAGCCATGAAAGGAGAACGCATCAATGTAGCAGGAAATCTCCAATCCTTTAAAGCCTTGTGCAAAAGCTCTTTACACCCCCTCCATCCAGGTTAGCACAGGGAGAAGCAAGAGAGGATGGCTATGGGATCCCTCATTACACAGATCAGCAGCAACATAAAGGGGCCAAAGACCTTATTCCAGCTGGGCTGGATTCAACCCTGTGCAGGGCCTGTGTGCTTGCCTTGTGCTCTACAAATTACAGGGCTGGGGTGACAGTAGACTTCCACCCGCCTTTCAGGCGTTTCTAGCTGTACAAAGTCCAACTCAGTGGCCTTTTAAGTTGGGATTAATCTCACCCAATATATACCAAACATGCAGTTAATATTGCTGTTAACATGTTTAACAAATGACGCACTGTAAAAACTACCACACTTCACTATAAAAACATCACATTAAAGTTACTTCAAGATAACATGTTACAGCAACGATTAGCAATTAGGCCAGCTTCATTTCAATACGCAACAGCTATATGTTACCAGAGTACAATAGGGCAAGTGAAAAAGCAGTCTCTTCAAGCTTGGCTTCTACGCAGAGCCTGGGTTAATTTATAAACTGGTTTGGAACATGTTGAGCACTTATTGTAAAAGGACAGAAAACTACAATTATGTCCATTACCAGCACAGATGGGAAGTTACCCCAACTAGTGCAAAATCTTTTTATTTTAGCCATCTCCTTCCCACTTATCCATCCATGCATATTTATTTCAATGGGGTTCTTGTTTATCAAAGGTTTCCATGCAAAGCAAAATAAGTATTAGGATGGATGTGGGTCTATTCTGTTCACACAAGAATTGAACATCTTTTGAACAGTTCCAAGCTTCCACTACAGAAGCAGAATAATCACAACAGATTGTTTGCTATTAGTTGATAAAAGCGCATGATAAACAATGACAAAACTAAATCACCGATTGGTTTGTCAGCTAAAGTGTATTTGCATAAGATCCCTGAATAATTACAAAAATACAACCCGTGCTACAGCAATGGAGGTGCAGAAATAATCAGAATTCATGTTCCAACAATTTGGACATGTCCTAACTTTTGCAGTCTTGTCTCTTCCTGCCATGCTCCATCCACGCTCCACATCCCACTCTCTCACTCTTTTTGTCTGGGAGGAATCAAGACCTTGTCTACATGCCAAAAGAGCCCCAATTTAGTCATTGGCATTGTTGCTTTAGTGCTGAAACATGGAAGCCAGAATATACTTTGAATGCATGCATCATAAACAAGCTGAAGGTCACATCAGCTTGTGGTCACATTGGTGGTGGATGGATCATACTCGACTTGGGGGGAGGTGGGTAGTGGAGTCCCCCAGGGCTCGGTCCTGGGGCCTGCGCTGTTCAATTTCTTCATCAGCGATCTTGATGTTGGGGTGGAAAGCAACCTGTTTAAATTCACTGATGACACCAAAATTTGGGGGGAGGTGAGCACGCTAGCAGGGAGAGAGAGATTGCAGAAGGATCTGGATAGGTTACAGGGGTGGGCAAACAGGAACAGGATGTGTTTCAATACGGACAAGTGCAGGGTGCTGCACTTGGGTAGTAGGAACCAGCAGCACACTTATACGATGGGGAACTCCCTACTTGAGAGCACGGAGGCGGAAAGGGATCTTGGTGTCATTATTGACTCCAAGATGAACATGGGCCGACAATGCGAGGTCATGGTTGGCAGGGCTAACCGGACCTTGTCGTGCATCCACAGGTGCATCTCGAGTAGAGCCAGGGAGGTGATCCTCCCCCTCTATGCGACGCTGGTCAGGCCGCAGCTGGAGTATT